CACTGTAATATGTATGCACATAGGTACACAAAAAGGGATGTATAATACACCCGCATCGGCCCTGGCGAGCGTGTTATGGGTACACATGTGATATCTAGGGATGCACCGGGTCAATAAATGAACTCAAGTTCAAGCCTAATCCTTCTATAAGAGTAGATAGGAGTCAACATGGCTTGAAATATCAAATAGGTATACGGTCAGGATGTCGACCGGATTATCTGTTTTATACGCACATATTAAGCCTTCAAAACCGGTGAACAATGAAATTCACCAACAAAGGTTTGAAGCCAACAAAACCTAATCATCAATCGACAAGCTTATAGAGTCGATAAGGTTCAATCCTCAAATGCAAATGACCCCATATATCCCAATGATAGTTGTATTGAATGTAAATCTCAATCGAATGGGTCAATTCCAAAAATCCAAAATGCCACTCAAAGACCCACCAAATCAAAAAACCAAAAATCCAAATCTCTAAAAATTCTAAAACCCAAAAATATTTAAAATTGAAATCAACCATCCAATTGCTTAAAGCAAAATTCATTCACCCTCCGCAACAGTTTGCCGATGTGGACAAATTGAAATTAACTTCAGCTCACAAATAACTAATGTATGGTCAAGAATATCACTAAGATTCATTCTCAAACAATCTTTTGCCAGTAAGGACGTGGCACGTGTCCTCTAGCCAGTTGTTTTGCCGCCAAATGGCACCGCAGGTAAACGGTTATGACCAGAGCCCTCTAAACCATGTGATTTGCCGCCAAATGGCACCACTAAATTACAATTATGGCTAGAACTCGTATTCTCCCCAATGGCATCAAATCCTTGAGATATGAATCCATAGGATATAATCGATAGGGCAAAAAGCTCTCTATTAGCTAAGGTGGATTTAAATTTGTTTCTTTAGACAAACACTCACCCCAGGTCTACAAGGTACCCTTGGACAAAGAACTCATGGCTGCCAACAAGGATCCTTCTTTCAGGTTGGGTCGACTACCTCCTCTGACTAAGTAGATCAGGGATTACAATGGCCCGGGACTACATAACCATTATATCTTGATCGGATCCATCATCCATACCCCCACCATCTGCTTTAAGTATAAGATTGTGAAATTTAAATTTTATATGTCAAATTTTCAAACCCCTAAGCCCATGCTGCTACTATATGCCAGATAATGTGTATCTCTATATATCAGATTGACGAATTGTCGTAATCGAAAGTTCTCTCTCGTTATCGGGAGGGGTAATTAATTATAGGGGCTTGCGCCTATAGGAAACCAGAACTCATATTATAAAGTCCTCGCGAAACGTAGTGTCTTATCTACCAACACAATCTGCCTCCCAAAAAATTTACCCTGGAACTTAATCCTTTAAAACTTCCCCAAAAAGCAGCGGGGAGGTTGGGCCAAATTTTCAGAGCCCACAACGAAATGAAGAAAACGACTTTTGTATGTCCTCGCCTGCCTGAGAAAATAAAGAATATGACAAAAATGAACCTTCAATCGCTTGTTCGCCTCGTCCCTTCGAAATAAACTCCTTCGACGAAGCAAGATCATTCGACCTCACCTCCTCGCATGTATACGCTCCTTCCGTCTCATATGCTCGCATTTTGCTCCTTAGACGAAGACGAAGCAGACGACGAAGATGCACGCTCCTTTGACCTTCCCTGATCGCATACCACCCTCCTTCGACATCGCCTTCTCGCGTAAACAAACATACAGAAAACCTAACCTCGCTCTCTGCTCGCGAAAATGAAATACTTCGAACTCAAATACAAAGTGATATGGATTTAATTTTTTTTCAATATTTAATAGGATGCGCGTATTCCTTTTCATTTAAATATTATTTTAGTATGATATATTTTGTCGTATTTGACATGTGTCTGAGCCATATCGAGTGCATGTTCGTGTCCCATATGTGTTTGATATTGCATACATTCTTAAATAGGTGTATCGGTGCATCATAAAACCCAAATCAAACACTTAAAACATATTTTAAAACTTTGAGATATTAATTGAATAATCAAATGGTCTCCAAATCTTTCATGCAAATAATTAAATTGAGCATCTCGATGAAACAAATCTAATGAGCTCAAAATCATTAAACTTTTAGGTCATTAAGATAATTAAATGCTAAATAAATGATCTACGATCAAAAAATTCAATAAATTATCATATTTAGTATTATTACATTTTTATCAAATTTACCAAAATACCACTAAAACATAATAAATGAACTCTCAATCTCTATAAAAACTATAAATAAATTCTCAATCTCTATATGAACGGGGGAACTTGAATTTGGATGGAGTTTGCAGATCTGAAGAACTCTAGCTGATGTAGAACCACATGCATAATAAAATGTATAAACTTTGAAATTACATGTTTTGTGACGGAACAATAACAGTTATTCAACTTTGTACGGATTAAACAATAGATTGAAAACAATAAAGCAATGATTAGGCATAGGTAACTGATTACAAGACAAAATATGGAGCACAAAATAATCAAAGTAAATTCAACTTTGCTTAGCGTGGGGGTTTCAAATAAATCCCTCGATTAACAATAAGACTAGTCACTATTAAGATCTCTCACACATACTCATCATAACGGCTAAGCGGAGAAGCTTTCATAACTTTTAATGATGTCACGATCGAGGAGAAGTTAGAAGGAAAAAGGGTCAGAAGAGAGTTCACCTTCATTAAGTTTCTAATCTTGATGTGGAACTTCATTAAGCTCTTGAACTTGTGCTCCGATGTTCTTCAAGATCGAGGCGATGTTAATCTGTGGTTTTCTTTGGAACAAACACTCCTTGTCGTCGTTAAAGGGTTACAATGCTCGAGGAGTTTGAATGTAGTTTTTCAAGAAAGGAGGATTTACTTCTTCCTCATTAGCTGAATTTGGATCCAAGGGGAAGGAGGAGGGGGGGAGCCGGCGGCTATGAGAGAAAAAAGGGGGGAAGGGGTTGGCGGCTACGAGAAGAATGAGCAAGACGATGTGGTGAATGAGTCGAACCACGAGCCCGGACGCTTCATGCGGCTGATGGGTAGTACATTGCCCTCACCTAGGGACTTCAACTCTCACAAGAAGCTCTCAAAACACAAAGTGTAGAATTTTCTTTTCATAATCATCATCCTCCAAAGAGGAGGGAGCTATAAATAGCCAAAATACAATAATAACTCTAAAGACGAAAGTGCCCCCTAGAGACACATGAGCCTACTCCCTCAAGTGAGGGTAAAAACGAAAAAAATGTATAAATAAATCAAATACAAATAATAACTCAAAAATAAAGTGGTCGAATCATGGTCGTAGATCTTCGGCCTATTCTCTGATAAACTTTCCACTGTTGGATGTCATCATCACTAGCTATACTTGACATTTGACGCCGACGATCACAAACAGCCACCACCATTGTCTGACTGCCATTATCGAACAATCATCACCAAACTATCATCATCCAACCACCATTACCTGACCATTATTGTCCAACTACCCCCATCACTAGGCTACTATTGTCCTTACCTAACCGGCATCATCCAACTATTGTCATCTTACCTCAATTACTTCTCCCACAATCTTAACTACAACTACAAGAGACCAAGCAAGTACTCTCAAAATCCTTTCTTCTACAATTGTGGAGAAGAGCGGGCTTTTATAATTTCAAGTACATACTTGATTATTTCAATTGGGCCGGGTCCCGTAAATTTTTCCTTTCTGAGTATTCCAAGTAAAACACTGGTGTCTCCTATAATTTCTTTTTTATTTGTGTGTGTACTGCTAGTGCAAAGCTAGGACATAAAAGTATAAAACATAATCTTATCATCACCAATTTTCTAGCATGCAACAACCCATAATCTATAATTGTTTTGGAATTCCAAAAGATGACAAGCTCACTCTTCACTTGACGTAGTCTTTGTGGGCTCCCTTTTATAATTAGATTTTATTACAAGGACCTATTTTTCTTTTCATTATTTTGTAGTTGTAGTTTGTCATTAGGCGTGTATAAGCTTGATTAATAGGGCAAGCCTATTTATTCCCACTTGCCTTCAGATAGAAATCAGTTTTGGAGAGGCAGTAGTGAGAGGCATTCATAGTGGAGTTCGGGACTCTGCCAGTCGAAGCCCCACTTCTTGGCTCTATTTTGATGGACACCTAATATGGATAGGCTGCATGCTAAAAAATATCCTAAATGATAAAAGGACCAAAATGGTCCCTCTACTCTCTGTGAGGGACCAAAATGGTCCTCAACTCTTTTGAGAAACAAATTAGGGCCCTCAACTCCTTAAAAAGGGGCATTTTTTTGTCATAACATCATATTTTGGGGTTAATGGTGTTAAATCTAGAGATATTTTAGTCATTTTTAATTAAATTATTTATTGAATGTAATTTTCAAGTAAAAGTAATTTAAAAAAAAATCATTAAACATTTCTTTGATAAAAAAATTTATAAATAATTCTAGAATTCTAGTTTTAATTCAAAAATTATTAATAATTCTAGTTTTAATTTAGGATCATTATAGACTAGAATTATTAATAATTTTTTTATTCAAGAAAGGTTTAATATTTTTTAAAATATTATTACTTTAAAATTATATTTAATAAATAATTTAATTAAAAAATAATCAAAATATCTTTTAATTTAACACCATTAACCCTAAAATTTGATATTATGACCAAAAATGCCCCTTGTTAAGGAGTTGAGGGATCATTTTTTCCCTCAGGAAGAGTTAAGAGATCATTTTGATCATTTTCTCTATCCTAAACAAGCAAGCAATGGCATGAATTGTTCAAAGAAAAGGTCCCGTATTAATCAGCATTAGTACAAATAGAAGTTTCTATTTTCTTTTGAGATTTAAAACCATAAGCAGCAATAAGTTCGCATTATTTGCAGTCGATCTTACTTTCTGCAATTTTACACTAAACTATCAACCTAGGGCTGGAATAAAACAGGTTTTCAAACAAACTTCTTTTATACAGCTAAAGCATATGTAATCAAGAGTACCTTTTTTATTAGTGGAGGCAAGCGAAGAGCAATTCCAGGAATATCATTAAGTGTGAGCGAACAATCAATAGCTCTGTGAATGCAATGTCAGATGTTATTGAATACGGATAACCAACAAAGAAAAAAATTATTCACAGAGGGAAAGACATAAATTATATGGTGAAGTAAACAGATGGACAATAGCATTATATTTTAAATCTAGACAACAAAACATAGGTTTGAAAAAAAATTGTTAAAGCAACTTCTAGCGACAAACTTCAAATTCTAATCACCTCACTACACTAAAATAATATTTGCTGCAACAGAATTTTATCATAGCATCACTAACATCTCTAAGGTGTCATTAACCTTCTCATACACCAAAAATCTTCAATACCCAAAGTTAAACAGCATATCAAATGTTACCTATAAGTGCAAATATCATTGATTTTACCACAAATGTAGAACATCTCAAAGCATCAGGAATGCTACAAATCCTTTAATAAATCGTTTTCTAAAATTAAAAATGCAACAATAAGCTCCAACAAGCTCAAAATATGAAATACACAGTCAGAAAGTTAGAAATTCCTCATAAAGAAGATAAAACCACAAGGCTACGTGAAAATTCAAGTTTTTTTCAGTCCTTCCGACCAGCAAAATACCTGCATATCTTTCCTTCATTGTGCACTTGCAAGAGAACAATCTATTTTAACATTAGCTAGTTCTAATGAATGAGCAATTCATTCAACACTCATATTGATACAACTAAAACAACAATAAGCCATAATCCCAATACATAAGGTCGGCTACATGAATCTTTTTTCTATATTGTGCCCTATTAAGAATCAAATTCTCATTTAAATCTAATAAAAAATAGTACTTTTAATGCTTTCTAACCCAATCTACATGTACCTTTATTAACATAGGCTAGATTTAATGCACTTACTTTCCTAACAGGGTCATCGAAAGGCTAACGCTTTATATGTTCAAACCATCTAGGATGACTCTCTCTAATCTTATCTACCCCTAGAGCAACTGCAACCTTTTTAATGTATATACTTGTTTCAGGTTCTATCTCTAAGTGTAAAGCCACTCATCCACCTTAGCATCCACATCTCTGCAACAATTAAACTTAATTTTATACTTCTCTTCTAGTGGCTAATATTTTGTGTCATAAAGTATTGTAGATCTCACCACAATCTTATAACATTCTCCCTTAAGTTTGAGGGGTGCTTTTCTATCAGACAACAGGTCTGATGCATTCCTCTACTTCAACCATCCAACTTGAATTCTACTAGTAATATCCCCACCTATTTCGCCATCGCTTTGGGAAATAGACTCAAGATATTTAAAACATGCACTCTTTTTAATGAGTTGACCACCCAATGTCATAATATCACTAGATCTATTAGCATTAAAATTACACTCCATATATTCAATTTTAGATCTACTCAAACGAAAACCTTTAGAGTTTGAAGTTGACCTCCATAATTCAAGTTTTTCAGCTCTCTCTCTAATCATCTGAACAATAAGAAATATCATCAGCAAAAAAGCATACACCAAGGTACATCCTCTAGCAAATCACTTGTACAAACATCCATGACTAAATCGGAAAGATATGGGCTTAAAGTTGATCCTTGATGTAATCCAACTAAAATTGGAAAATAGTTGGTCAAACCACCATATGTTTGAACACAAGTAGTAGCTCTTATATGTGTATCCTTAATTACTTGAATATAAGCATTATTAACTCTTTTATTTTCTAAAACTCTCCAGAGCACTTCTCTTGAAACTTTATCATACGCTTTCTCTAAATCAATAAATATATGTAGATCCTCATTACTCTCTCTATAATTCTCCATCAAACCTCACAACAAATGCATAGCCTCCATAGTTGACCTACCCGGCATGAATCCTAGTTGATTATGAGAAACATTGCTATCACGTCGTAACTGATGCTCAATTACTCTCTCCAATAATTAACTTAATTCATCTATAATTTGCACACTCTTGTGTGTCACTTTTATTCTTCAAAGTGGAAACCAACATCCTCTTCTCTACTCATTTGGCATCTTTTTTCATCTTCAAAACAATATTAAAATTTTTACTAAGCAAAAAACTGCTTTGATCTTCTAAGCATTTCCACACTTTTATTGGAATATCATCAAGTCCTACTACTTTTGCATACTTTATTTTCTTTAAAGCATACTCAACTTCATTTTTATTAATATGGTGATAATTATAAAAATAAGCATTTTTATTTATGATGTTAAAGTCACTAAAGTCAATCGTATCCTCACGACTTTCAATGACAAGCTTATCGAAATATATCAACACCGACCTTAAAAAAATTATATTAATTTCAAAGATTTCTTCAAGGGTGTTAAAATTTGTGCACGGATGATTTTCTCGTAAACGAGATCCGAAACTAACAACAGTCATTTTGACACCTCCACCCAATTGCATCAAGATAGATCAACCAAGTCATCAATTTTGAGGGAGTTCATCTCAATCGACCGTAATCTTAAAATTAGTGCATAACTTTGTTCATCCAATTCAACTCCCATAGGCACCGATCTTAGTCACATTCTTATATATCTAATCATCTAATTTAGAACTTAATCATTGATCAAATGTATCATACCTAAGGTCTTCCATCAATCCATCCATCATCATAGGACATGATGAATCTCAAAGTCCACATGACATGGCTTTCCACCCTTTGATTAATTGAAGGACAAAAATATCCTTAATTGATGGCCCTTGTAGTCCAAAACAATATTTCCAATCCATCTATCCATCCATCATACCCTCATCATGGTTCTCTCACACACAAACACACTTTCATCTTAAAGGGGCAAGTTTGTTGAATTGGTTTCAATTCTTATCCAACTTCAAGCTCTCAATAACTTGAGTAACATAGGATCTTCCTGGGATAAAATCATTTGGTTGGTTAGCTGATATTTTGTTTCAGTTGATTGTGAGATGGACAAAACATCAGGATAAACGTGATCCGTCTACACAAAATATACTTAAAGTAAAAGGTCATTTATGACGCAAAAGAAATAGTTCATACAGAATCTCCATTTCCTCGCCATTTTCCCTTCTACAAAGACCATGCAATGTAAGTATGCTCTCTTACAAATTCACTCAAAAGCAAGCATAATGAACCTAAAAATAAATAATAACATAACATGTACACGCACATGCAAAAAACAAGACATCATCGATAAAGAATACCAAATTAAGAACATGATACAGCAGCTAAGAGACAATGGAATCTAGGGTTTGCAAGATAAAATAAGCGAGTCACCATGATACAATCAACAAACAAATTTGAAGAGCGAATTGAAGTGCGGATGCGTACTTGGCAAAGGAGTAACAGAGGCGGATCACATCGGAATTCTCCATACGCGAGCCGCCGTTCAAGCATTGGGAGAGGCGATCGTAAACAGCCATGAGACGGAGCTTGTTGGCTTGCTCTGCTAATAGAAGGGGGCCTACCGGAACGGAAGCCGACGTCGACGAGCCTATGGCGGCTGCCGCCGCCGCATTAGCAGCCGCCATCGCAGTGACCGCGGAGTAAGGAACAGAAGTAGCCATGGTCTATCCCCCTGTGTCCTTCAGAAGACGGGATCACGGAACGCTTCGGAGGGCAAATAAGTTTGGCGAACTTTATATATTTATTTGCTTCTATATATAATATTAAAAATATCTAAAAAAATTTTAAAAATAGCACTCGTGTCAAAATCCCTAACCCTATCACCATGACGTCAAACCCAGTAGGCTGCAAACCTTTGACGAACTACTCGTTGTTCGGTTCAATTAAAGCTCGTTTGTGATCGTTTAACAAACTAAACAAATAAATTTGAACAACATTTTAAATACTCGATCTTTAAATAAACAAGCTTGAATACTACTGTGTTCAGTTCATTTATGTTCACGAACAACATTATTTGAAGCTTGTGAACAAGCTCGACATTAAGCTCGATTCATGTTCGATTCAGAGCTCGTGAATAAATTCGATAAAAATTTGATTAATATTTAGTTATAAAATTAATAAATATACATAATATAAATATTTTAAATTTATTATAACATAATGAATTTGTTCATGAACACGTGACATTTTACTTTTATCCATATTTGCTAGATTATTTATTTAAGATGTTCATGAACAAATTTAAGATTTGTTTGTTCAATAGATTGTTTGCTAAATATGTTCACGAAAATAGCTCGTTAATGTTTGTTTTTTTAAAGATCGATAAGCACTAAATGAACCGAGCATAAATCAAACATGAACACAAACAATAAAGCTCGAATCAAACATGAACCGAACTTGAACAAGGTAATAATAAACGAATTGAAACATGAACACTCACATACTCGACTCAGCTCGGTTCGTTTGCAGCCCTAAAACTTATCACTCTTTGATGACAATATTGTGATTGCTTGTTACATGTTTTGCTCACAATAGCTCTTAGAAAATTGCATCATATATCTCCCGAAATTAGTTCACGCGGAATTCGAAAGGAAATAATTATTCATACTTTGAGTATATACACTGTGTACAAATAGTGTGTACAAAAAGTTAATACATATTGTGTATAAATTTGTACACGTCTGGATTCCACATTATATACCTTAGGTATGATAAAGTTAATACATATTGTATATCAATTCACATATCCATACAGTTTTTCCCATCTGAATTTCGCACTAAATAATTTCTCTCTTCACTCACTTTATTTGATATCCCTCTATTTTGCCCTCTATTTTGCCCTCTATTTTGCTTATATAAGCTCTTAGAGAAAATCATCAACAAGCCCACTCAAAATGAGTAGCTCTCTATGATTCTAATAGCATGCAATGAAGACAAGGAAGTCCATGTTTAAAATAACAAAACATGTACACACACATACATTTTTTTAGTTATATAAATCTAAATATAATAACAAAACATGTACACGCACGCATTTTTTTTTAGTTATATAAATCTTAATATATAGTTTTGATCCATGCTTATAGAAGGAATAAAGCAGTAGGAGAACCCTAACTTTTGAAAATTTAAATGAACAAGCTTTGAACACTATGTTTAGTACTCGTCCTTGTTTGTTTCGAATTTAGGGTTTGACCATAAAAAATAAAGCGAGGTGCAAAGCATTCCTTAAATAAGGATCAAATCTTATGAATATGGTTTAAATCATGTTTGAATGTGATTTGAACAACGACCGAGTAAGGTAGGAGCTAATTCTTCACCACCGAATATTGTTTTGCATGCATAAATAAACATAATCATTTATAACGAATTAATAGAGGCATATTAACATTTAGTTTTCTTCCTTCCACAAGTATCCCTATTTTTACCTTTGCATCAGTCTCTTCTAACAAATACCAATCCACATGATCATATTTATGCATATGGGAATATGAAAATTGGAGATATAAAAGTTATGTATTGATACAATGTTATTGATTGCTTCAATTTAATTTATTTAAGAATTGTTAATTGATACAATACATGTTATATGTATTAGTTTTTTGTTTTATTTTATATTATAATGCTTGTCGTTGTAATGATTTAGGCTTCGTTTGGGACAGCTTTTTTGCTACTTTCTTAAATGACTTTCTAATACAAAAATTTTTTGAACTAAAAATTTCTATACTAAAAAACTGTTTTAGAAAGTATTAAGAAAGCTGTCCCAAATGAAGCCTTAATGTTTATGTGAAACTCCAAACCCTATTCAAACTCGGTACAAAAAAAAAATAAATCTTGTTCAAATTCTTTCAGTATAATATTGGAATCATATTCGAACTCCATTCGAAACATGTTCAAGCACTATTTGAATCATATTTGAATAAGTACAACAAATCAAACTACGATATAATAAAGTGCAATCACAATAATTATATCACAACAAAATATAACTTTGATACACTAAAGTATAGTCATAATAATTATAATACAGCATAATATAACAATTTTATTAATTTTATGATTATAATCTTTCACTTTTGAAATTATAACAGTAATTCATATTTTTAACATAAGGATTTTCTTAGTGTGAATAGAGGTCTAAGAGTTAGTATCCAATCAAAATTTTATTTTATGAATGTACATAAGTATATCCATCATGCACTAAATATATAAAAGGGTTAGAACACTACAGGAAAATCGTCCATTACAGGAAAATTTTCCGACATCTTTCCGGTGGATTTCATGATGGATTACGATGAAACATTTATGACTGATTTTCAAGCAGATTTTTTGTCAGATTTTAATAATTTCTGAAATTTTTATATATTCGTAATTTAATTAATTAATAATTTTATAGCTCATTTTAATTAACTGTGAATTTAATAACTTAGTTTACTTAATTATTACTTTAATAACTTATCTAAATTATTAATTATTACTTTAATATTTTAATTTAATTTATTCTTAAATAATTAAAATAAGTTATTACATTACTAATTAATTAATTATTAATTTTATAACTTATTTTAATTATATATTTATTTAATAGCTTATTTTAATTATTTATTAATTTTAATATTTTACTTTATTTTATTTTAATTTTTAGCATTAGCAATATTATTTAAATATAAAACAAAAAGTTTTATATCTTCAATTAGAATTAATAAATTGTATCTAAAAAATCTTCATGCAGCATGCATATATCAGTGAGAATATTTTTAAATGATAAGTCACAATATTTGAGCATAAGACTCCTCCAAATACTATTTTCATTTCCTTATTTATTTTTTTTAATTATTTGATTTTCTCTCTTATTATTATTATTTTTCTTTGATTCATTTTATTTTTCAATTATTTTGAATAAGGAACAAACACTCTTTAATTTTTAAAAATGATTTAAAAAATCAAACTATTAATTTTAATTAGATTTTATTTATTTTATTATAAAAAATGATTTCAAACTTTTTTAATGTATTACAATAAAATTTTATGTGTACTCACCTTTTTTATTTATCAATTAAATGCATCTATTATTTATGTTATTCCGTGTGGACTTAAAAATACATTTTCTTCTAGTTAAAATTTAAAAAAAAGGATTAAATCTATATAGCCAAATAAAGTTAATTAGTTCAAAAATCTGACAAAAATAAATAGTTTTGTTCTATTTATAAAAAAATACAATATATTGGATTTAGTAAAACAAGTTGTATTTGGATTATCCCGATTTGTGGGACGAAATCCGCCATTTGTAATCTACGAAAACACTAGTGGAAATTTGCAACTGGGCAAGGCCCCGTGGTTTTTCCCATTTTTGGGTTTTCCACGTAAAAACTCTTGGTGTTCACTCCTTTCTGTTTGTGTGTTAAACTTACGTGCAACGCTCGGACGCGAATTTACAAACTCTACCGCCGCGTATTTTCTAACACGCAACAGATGTATAATTAAATTATTATATTTTTTCCTAAATTTCTAAAACTAATCCTTAATTATTGTCCTTAAATGTATTTAAGTTGTATGGGTTTGTAATCAAGAGTCTCTCTAACCCTTAACAAATATACAACCAACCATACCATGAAAATAAACAAAAAGGATGTGACCTAAATCTAAGTACATGGAAAGGGGAAACTTCCCCCATACTTAATTTAACCCATAACCCGAGTATTGGGAATCCACTTATGAACAAGTCCGATCCCCACATCAATGCTATCATAGTATTATGATTAAGGAAATACATACCACAATACTCAATAATTAGACTCAAATGCACAACATGGAATGCCTAAGGAATGATTAAGTACACTAAGAAGAGAGATTTACATGCAATCACACTAAATTTAAATTGAATAAGCTCAGCTTAAAACTTTCACTTGAATGTTTGATTGAATCGGATCAATCCAAAATTAACTCATAAAGAATTTTCAAAAGTTAAATTTAAACACAACTCATGCTAACATGAAATCAAATAACTATTAAAATATAGGTTAAAGAAATTCTGGAAAATTCACTGAAGATCAAACATATTTTGAAAATAATTCTTGCAAAACTTCAAAATATTTGAATTTATATTTAAAGAAATATTAATTAAAAACCCAAATATCAAATATATAAAATTATTTAATATTTATAAAATATTTTTTTCTCAATTTTAATTTTAAATGAAGGAGGATTTAATTCTGAGAAAAATGAATATTTATTTGTGATTTTTGGATAAAATATAATTTTATATGAATTTTAAAACTTATGTTAATTAAAATCATTTTAAATTAATTTAATTACTTAATATTAACATAAAATGGTGATAGTGGAGATGGCAACGACGGACCACGCGGCATTCAGCTTGTTGGATCGATATCGTGGTAATGGAGAAGCCACGGACAAGCATCATAGTGGCTATATCAAAACCTCGGTAACAAAGAGGGTATTAATGACCAATGATTGCACCACGATAATCATTGGCCATTAATGTGGGACGAGGTGACTCGACCGCGCACATCACTTATCTAAGTCAGCACTAGATCAGGGCCATTCATCCGTGCGCGATTTGGATGAGCGGTCTAGATCTAGCTAGACGAAAGACAGAACTGCAGAATCAAATATATGGTTTGATCAAATTGTTAAATGGCTAGATCAGAACCATTAATCGTGTGATCAATGGTCTGAAAATTGTACAAATTCATGTAT